GACGCCGCCTCCGAGGAGCTGTGGTCTGCAGCAGTGACATGTGAGCTCGTCACGGAACTGCTCTGTCCTGCAGAACCGCATCCTGGAGCCACCCAGGAAGGGTTAAAGCATCTTTGAATTCTGAAGATCGTTCAACTCCCAACAGGCGACCACCACGACAAACAGCTCCCTTCCCCTTCTCACTTTATTAATATTTTGCAATTTTAGCGACTTCCATTTATTTGACAAATTAACATTTGGGGCATATCAACATTTCCTACTAGTTCCAGATAAATGAAAGATGATGACAAATAATAATTATGAAAAATCACCTTTGTTTCTATCACTGACAAAAAGAATATAACTCATTTTTTTCACCATCTGCATTGCATTTCTTGCCTTTTCCCTAACTTATTCCCCTACTCTGATTTTTAAATAGCACCTCATTTTTCATCCGAAAGCACTGTGTTTTCTTTTCTCCCTCTAGAGGATCACCATTTACCCTTCAAGATCTAGCTCAAACATAACTTGCTGGTACTTTTCCCTAAATGGGTGCCCATCTTCCAGCCTCAAAGACCCACGAATGCAGGGTGTGCTCTTGGTTGGAGGGCACAGACCTGTCTGCTGTTAGTCCCAACATTTGTTAGCGGTCATCCTGCTCAGCTCACCACAGAAGAGCTTTGTGCACCTGCAGACTCGTCCCTTCTTCTGCTTTCCCCCAAAAAAGCATCGCATGGAATCACTTGACAGAACAGAACCCAGGGAATGAAGTCGGGGCACTTCTGTGGGGGTTGCAGCTGGAGAGTCAATAGCTGTGATTCCCTTCTAGTCAATTCTTGTTCGTGCAAAAACACCCTGGAAGGGAATCGTGTAGTTCAGGTACTGAGTAGACAGCACTCAGAGCTACTAAGGTGGTAGTGAGAGTGTGTGTGCTGTTCTGTGATACGCAACTCACTGCTAGGCACCTACATTCCTCAAGACTGGATAGAAAGTGACACAGACACCTGCCTACAGCTCTGGGACTTGCAGAATTGAAGACTGAGTCACTGGCTCAGAAACTCATTTGCAGTCACTGACCAATGAGAATCCTGAAAATTTCACTTGCGAGAGAAGATGTGGCCAGGAATTAAAAGAGCACCCCTGAGCCTTTGTAAGTTTGGAGAAGTGCATTCACTGCTTCAAATGCTTTTTCTGTCCTGCTAAGCAGAAGAAAGAAAAACCTACACTATGTTTTCCCACATCGCACTCCCATGGCATCTGCAATGCAATCAAAATAATGACACTAAAAGGAAGACCTTGGGCAGGATGACAGTGGACAGGACACCACTCACTGCAAGAGATTCATGGGATGTGGTCTCCAGCCGAGGGCTGGGTGTCCTCCGGCCGCTGTATTTACCTTCTCTTCCTTAGGTTCTTCCACTGGAGATGTTTCAGATTCAGTTTAACAATAAAATGCGTCTAGAGGGTGGTTCTGTATTGAAACTGGGCGTCTCAGCGGCCACAGACAGTGCTTGAATTAAGCCATCCTCTCATTCTTCTAAAAGTGGTCCTGCCCAAGGCTTAGTTGGTGACAACTTAGGGTCCACCTGACAGCAAATACAAACCGAGGGCTCTATCTGAGCTTGCAGGCAACCCACCTGCTCTTCCTCCCTCACCAAGACCAAGGAGAATAAAAAAAATGCCCCACTAACTGTGAAGTCAAGCGTACCCCTGACCCAGCTTCCAAAACCACAACCAAAACCCCAAAGGATAAGGTCAGCTCAACCCTGCAGGCCGACCTGGTGTCGTCTTCCAAAGAAGGGGCCACCTGGAGGAGTTGGAACGGCACTGGATCACTTCCTATGAGGTTTCCAAGGCCAGGGTTCTGCATTGTTCTGTGCTGTTCTCTTTCCTCTCTTCCTAATGGATTTAGAGGTCACTCGTATGTTAACAAATCCCCCCTGCCCTGCTTTTAATACCATAGATTAAGACTTTTTTAGGGCTACAGACTTGCATCCATTTCATTCTAATCTATTTCAAACACGTCATACATTAAATATTTGGCTTCTTGTTTTTCACCTGTGCCCCCAGCAGGCCTCCTTGTCTCAAGATTTTCCATTATTCAGCCAGCTCTGAAAGTTACCGGTACATGAATCACTCATTCAGCTCCCTCCCCACTCTCACCACACATCTCAGGGAAGACAGTGCTATCGGCAGTGACCAGGGACTTCTTATCAACAACAGTAGTCATTCAGGACTCCCCAAGCCCTAGCTGTTGCACATCCAAGATCAGAGATTTTGATGTTGTCTGTGTATTCCCAGGCTTTCCACGGACTCTGATGTTCACAGAAACCAGAGCACCACTTGACACAGCTGTGCTGCTGTAGCTGGACAATTACACAGACTCTTAATTGGTCCTTCCACTCCCACTCATGACCCTTCCAATTCATTATCTTCCCAGAAGTCAAAGTAATCATTACTCCTAAATTTGATGTAGTTACTCCCTTGCTTAATATCTCTTAATGATTTTCAAATGCTCTCAGAATAAAATTGAGTTTTAGCATGGCCTGCATGGGATGGCATTCCTACGATCCTTAGCTCTTGCTCTACCATCTCCTGCATCCCCTCTCCCCCTCTCCCTTAGCAATCAGACCCCTATCATCTCAGCCTTCTGACCTGCATGGTCACACCTACCTGTCACACTGATGACTGCTCCCATGGTGCACCCCTCCCTCTCTACTTTCATTATTCCCTGTCCCACCACCTCTTTTGGCACGAGGTGGAATTTCCACACAGCTTATGAATTAACTGGAGTAGCTAGTACCTCCATCCTCGATGGCCAAGTGTGTGAGAAAATGAAGCACACAAGCATCGGTCTCCATTGCACACAACCATGACGGTCCCCATGCTTCTCACATGGTATCTGTTGTGGTATGAACAGGGTTCACTCCTCAAACTCACACAAATGTTGAATCCCCAAAAGTCTTACACTAAATAAAGGTCAATGAATTCACTTTGACAGCCGATGCATTTAGGTGGAAGCTTGATCCAACTGGGTTCTCAGAAAGCCACTGGACTGGCTCAGGGTAGTGGAGTGGAGCCCATGAGCACATCGTGATGTCCTTAGAAAAGAAATGCAGGGACCTGGAGGAGGACACTGCTCCCTGGGTCTCTCTGCTTTCTGGCTCAGTGTGTGATCATCCAACCACCACCCTCCAGGCTCACCAGCTGCCTAAGCCAATGGGGTCACCTCATCTTGGGCTGTGACTGTCTAAATTGTCAGGTGCCATAAATGTTCTTCCCTCCTACGTAGCTTCTCTTAGCTAGTTTGCTTAAAGTACCGAAAAGCTGACTAATAGAGTAGGGCTTTAAAAAGAAAACACAGCACAGCAGCAACAAAATCCTGGTAACTGACCAATCAAATATAATTCTTACGAGGGATAAAGTACAAGCCAAACAAAGAAAAGTAAGATCAGCATCGATATTGGTCCTTAGCACAACTTCTCCTCAGTACCTGGAGTTGGTAAATGCCGGGTGGGAATTCCTGTGTATATGGACAAATGACGCATGCCAGAAATTTAACACTGGTGCAGGGCTTATGCCAGCCAAGATTAATGCTCCGATTCAAGCCCCTGGATTTCAACTCAATCCCTGAGTGCTTCATAAACGCCACAGGCCTCGACTCTTCACCATTAGTGCTGGCTGACCCTCCCTTTTTATCTCACAGCAACACCCAATTAAAAGGCACCTTGTGTATGGCAGCCAGGTCAGGCTGCTTTGATTCTGCCTTGGACAGTCACCCTTGGATTTGTCTTTGGGTTCTTTGGCTTGTTTTGCCTTTATTTTCTCTTCTTGCTTCCAAGTGCACAGTGTTTCAGATTCAGGGTGATTTTAGTTTCTTCTTTGGCTTTGGCCCTCTGTATTCATCTCAGTCAAATCTGGCCCTGGCTGTCTGGCTCTGTCCATTGCCGAACGCCAGCTTACAACCCTTGGGATTCAATCTCAGTGTCACCTCATTGAGACACTGAAGCTCTGCTAAGGTAGAACTGGCAGGCACAAGCAGAGCCGTGGCCAGGCCAGGGCACATGAGGTAGCTGGCCTGGGGAGCCCCCAACCAATCTCTGCCTGCACAAACCTTCTCCTCTTAGAACCTGCAGCACAGATCTCCACCCCCAGGACCCCCACTCTGCATCCCATTTCCAAAATGTCATCTTGTCATCAGTTGTCAGTGTTTCCTAGGGTCTGAAGGGGGACTGCATCTTTGTCAATGTCAGAAGAAACATAAGGAAAACAGGGAGCAGGGACTGTGATGGCTGATTTTCTGCTTTACTGGTTGGGACCGTTAGGTGAGCAAACATTTGGCCCAACATTCTGCACATGTTTCTGCTGAGTCTAACTTTTGAGTCATTTAAGGGAAGCAGGTGGCCTTCCCCAGTAGACCTGAGTCCCCTCCAGAACTCCCAAGGCCCTAGTAGAACAAAAGGCTGAGTGAGACAGAACCGGCCACCGAGCCGAGGCACCTGCTGTTGGACTTGGGCATCACCATATACAAGAAAGTGGCTGCCTACCCAAGTTCACGACTGACAGGAGTAAGAAGAGGCTATGGAAAGCAACAGCACTGTAGTTACCCAGATAAACTTCTTGTAAAACCATGTGACTCACTGATCTGCATTAAAAATGCAACAAATTATCACCACCAAAGTAAGAACGTAGGAAGTAAGGAAAGATGGGAGGAAGAAATCAACACCCAACTAAGAGAAGGATCTAGCGAAAGCATTAGCTGGTCCTTTGTTTCCTTAGCAGTAAGAGCCTCAGAATAAAAGAACTCCTCCATAAGGATGCAGAGCATAATGTCTGGTACAAACTCAGTGCAACATTTCCCATCAACATCGTCACAGCTGTATCCAAACTGTCTGTAGCAAGCTGCATGCTCACTTGTAAATGTACCCTAACACACACCCAGTGAACACTCTCCTAACTGAGCAAATTAAATGCCTCCTCACTCTCCATTCAAGGGCAGAAGAGGAGCGAGGAGAACTCACGTTGAGCTGAAGTTCATCTGTCCACTGCCCAATCAGACGGTAACCGGGGTTGGTGGTGTTTGTCGTCTGGTACTGGAAGATGTCGTAACGCCCAGGTGCATCTCCGTTCTTATTAAACATCACTGGGGTGCCAGCGCTACCTGGGAAAGACAAGAGAAAGACAGACTTTTAGAGTTCCCAACCCATCTATTGGCAGTTCTACAGATGACAGTCTTGAGATCCGCTGAGCATCAAGGCAGTTTGTAGATATCCTCATGGCTTAGGAGAGTCCCCACAATGGTCCCTAGAACTCATGTGCAGAGACAGCCTGGGGATAGCAAGTGCAGAGGGAAGAAATCCTGCCCGAGCCCCAGTACTTAAGTAGTTTCCTCTATGCATCCATATGAGAAGGACTGGGAGGGCAGAAAAATTAGATTTATTACTCACAGAACCCTGAGAAAGGACAGCAGGGTGCCTCAAGGGCCTAGGATAGGGAGCAAGAGAGGGAGAGGACGGTGGGCTAAAGCCTTTATACAGTTCACGACATTACCTGGGTGGGTTTCCTGGGACAGGGGTAGATTTGGTGAACTGGAGAGAAAGTAAGGCTAAGGACAGGAACTTGGGGGTTACAGGGTTGAATTTACCAGGCTTAAAGCAGAGTCAAGTGGACAAGGGGTTCAGGTACAGGACCATATCACTCTAGAGGGTGGACTTGGGGACTGGGTAGGTACCACCCCAAATGACGCTCAAGGCACAGCAGGATAACAGGGTGCATGCTGAACGAGCTTCCATAGGATCTGGAGTTATGACTGCATCATTCCTGGACAGTATGTACCTGGAAAGGAGAGGGGGTGTGCAGAAACAGTCGGCAAAAAACAAGGGAAGGAAGGAAGGAGGGAAGAGAGGAAGGGAAGGCAGGGGAGGGGAGGAGGGGACAGGAAGGAAAGGGAGGAGAGGGAAGGGAAGGGGAGGGGAGGGGAAGGGCAGAAGGGGAGGGGAGGGGATGGAAAGGGAGGACAGGGGAGGGGAGGAGGGGAGGGGAGGGGAGGAGAGGAGAGGAGGGGAAGAGGGACAGACATTAACCTTGAGGAAGCAAGCGCGGTGTTGAAAGGGACTCTGCCGATGTGATCACACTGCACAAGAAAGAAATTGAACTAAAGGTCTAGAAAGAACAGCAGTGTACTGGGCCAGTAGAGGCATCAAAGACGAAACCTGTACTCAATGTTACCCCCCGGCAGAGGCAACTCAAAGTGACAGGAGGGCAGACAGAGGCCAAGCCACAACGGACTGTCCAACAGCTGCCTGTCATGAGATTCTGGGCTAAAACAGGAACCAAATGCACCCCAGAAGCTGCCTCAGAAGGAATGTGCTCACGGGACCAGGGACTAGGAAGTAGGGAGATGGCTCTGGATGGCCACAGGGAGCCCCAGAGAACAGCAGAGGTCCTCTAAGGACAGGGGAAGTGACAGTCGGAGCTGTAGATGCGATAAGAGATGGAGCGATGCAGGAGTCCCTGAGCTATGGGGAGCAGTGGCTTCTGCAAGCTTGAAAAGGCCAGGAAACTGTCCTCACTCTGGGGCCTGCAGAGCCGCCAGCCCTGCCTTCACACTCATGAAAGCCCACGGAGACCTGTGCTGGACTTGTGGACGACAGAACCGGAACATCAGCTGTTTGTGTTGTTCAAGCCTCCGGCTTTGTGGTCATCCTTGACAGTGGCAAACAGGAAGTTAATAAAAACCTGGATGGGTCAGGATCTCCAGCTGCCCAACTTCCCAGGTGAGAAAGTCTACATGGTCTGGGGGAGGGAGGAGAGCCACTCACCCCAGTCACTCAGCTACCTGAGTGAGCAAAGCACTTTCAACAGCCTTTGCGGTTTTCCAGAATGGAGTTGAACCACCCCATGCTGTGTGACTTTGACAAGATACTTGGCCTCATTCTACTTCTGGCTGCTGCCCCTAATACCTTCCTCGTGGGATCAAAGTCAATGATATGGGGAGCTCATGAGTTCCGTGCCCATGAGTAACAGAAGCTCAACAAAGGGCCAGGGTGTTTGAAAGATGCAATTTTGATCAGTTTTGTACTTGCACGTTTCTCAAGAGCAGTGAGAACACATGGCCTCAGTTAGCTAGACCATCATCTTTTCCAGTGCACCAGTATGATCTCTCCCATGGCTGTCAAATTTAAATCTCTCCATGGGTATAAATAGCTTTTATCTTCCCAACAGGCTAGAGTGCATTTTAGGAGAGAGCTTTGAGCTCCCATGAGTAACAGTGCTTCTAATCCATGACCTTATGTCCAAGGCACCCTTTCAGTTTGTGTTTCCTACACTCTACCCAGAATTTATCTCCACAGACCAGGAAGGCATCCACATTATCACAACAGGTGCCTCTTAAACTCTCTGTGTAGAAACACGTGCCCTCCCCGACAACAAAACACGACGAAACAGTGTTAAAATCATCGGCTCTTTGCTTGCAGTCAGCCCTTCTGCTATATAAAGACAAGAAATGGAATCTGGATTTCCCATGTTATTAGCAAGAAAATGAGGATAGTGTCATTTTGCAAGAAGACACTCATATTCATCAGATTCTCATCTTTCTCTTCTCACACTGGAGGGTAAGATTCATGTTATGCTTTGCTGTCAGTCTATAGCATTGCCTCCTTAAATAAGGCAACTCAAGTTTTGCCTGGAATTTGAGAAGAAGCAGAAAGAGTACTGGCCCGGGGCCCCAAACAACTCAAAATCACCAGCTCAATATTCATCAGAACAGGACTTTTTGCCTCGTCTCTTTTTCTTCCTGCTTATAATCTTTGCTAGGAGAAATGACTCTGCCATGCCCTTTCCATTCTCATTAAAGTTCACATTTAAAAAAAATTAAAGAAGCAGAGCTGAATGCCTGATCCGTGAGATGACTTAGAAGACCACACTGTGCGGCTTGACCTTCTTGATAGATAACATAATGCAAGCGCCCTATTATTTCCAACCTCCCCCTATGTTTTTATAATAGCCCCCTGAACTTCCTGAAACAGAAAGAGACATTGTGTCCAAGGCACTCTGTATCTAAAATGAAATATCAAAGGAGTCCGTGGGGAAGAAAGCGGTTATGAAATGGAAAGCCATCACCTGCAGAGATTCTCACAGGGTGTGAGGGCTGGAAGGCCGAGGAACAGGAGCCCTGCACAGGACGGGTGGCAGGAGTCAGGGATGACTGATAGACTCTGCTCCAGCCTGCAATCCGCTCCACCAGACAGGAGGACCTCGCTGTGTTCTCTTCCTTCCTGGACGGGGGGCTTGGGGCTGAAGATGCCCAGGTAGTGGACAGTCCTGCCCCACAGTGTTTGCTGTCCTCGCCGTCTTGGTCCACAGACAGACCCTAAACACGCAGCACTGACCTGTGCTTCTGTTAACCCTTTCTGCACCACAAACCCCAAGCGGAGCATGCATGAGAAGACTTGGAAAAGTTTATGGGAAGCAGAATAAAGGAGGCTTACGCTTATGGATAAAAGTTCAAAATGCACGCCTGGCGTTTTCATTTGGGGACACACATTTTGGAAACCTTTTGTACTCCATGGGTTCTTTGTAGCTTGGTCTGGGTTTGGTGAGTTGGTGAATTTACATCATTGGGAGCAGGTGAACGTGGCTGTCAGGTGGGACCCTAGCTGGGGCTGCACAGGTCGTTTGCATGTGGTCTGTCGAAGGGACCACTTGGATTCCCCACAAGATAGCAGCTGAATGCACGGGATGGATGTGTCAAGGGAATCATACAGAAATCCTACTGCCTATTATGCCTTAGTGGTCAAACACCATTACATCCCAAGTTTGCACAGGCTCCTTCAGATCCAGAGCGGGGAGACACAGAGCTCACCCTCGAGGTTGACAGAAAGTTATCTTGTCACAAGCAGAGCGTGTGTGATGTGCCATCTGTACAAAACACACCCTGCCTCAATTTGGAAACCAGCACAGACCTACCTCATACTAAATGATTCATGACATGGCAACCCTTGAAGATTTTACACCCAGGACACTGAATTTGTTAAATATACATTTGTAAGTGTTGCCATCTGGTTGGATGGCCGAGAGAGAGACAAATTTAAGCTCAAGACTTAGCATTCATTGGCGATGCAGGAAAAATAAAAATGGCCATGAGTGAGAAAGACTAAATTGGTCATTTCTTTCTCAGTGCAGAAGAGGAGGTTAAGTGCTTGGCAAAGCCATAGCGATGCTTTGAGGACACGCGATTATGATTCCCTAAATTGACGCTTTGGCAAATGGGAAGTTCAGAGTTATTAAACTGTCATCTACTGGTCGGGAACAAAACTCCGAAGAGCAAACTTTCCACTAAGGTAACATAGGGGCATGATCATGCTTACTAGGACAAAGAATAATCAAACTCTTTCTCAAACAAGCACAACATTGACTAAATTCTTCACAATCAGCCGAGAGAGACCCGAGCCTCTGATTTCTCCTTGCTCTCTGCTGAAGTCTCGCACAAGTGGTTTCTACTCCTGAGCACTTGATTTCTATAGAAAAATCAGCAACATGAGTGAGTTAAGCTTGGTAAGTTCTTTTCACGGTAACACTTGCTGACTACAAGTGGCGCTGATCCACTGATTACATTTATCGCAGCTTCTTCACGTTACGGCTTTCAGCCCCGCTACAAGCAAATGGGGCAGTGACCCAGGATCCAGAGTGTCCTGGCTGTCCACACAGAAGAACTTGATGCCTCCACAGAGATCATGCTGACCAGCGAACACGTCCACCACGCTAACAGGGACAGACACAAAGCCGGCTCTGCCTGGGGACTCCTGCAGAGTCTCAGGTCTGTCCGGCTGGGAGGGCACATTCTTTGTTCAAAGGCTAGCTGCGGCAGGTCTCCTGGGTTTCCTCCAAGCAGAACATCACCACTACCTACCTGCAGGGATTCAGGCATTACACTTCGCATTTCTCTATGAATCCATTTCCTTATCAGTCAAAGCAGAGAAAATGATACTATCTAAGCCATCATGATGCTTTGAAGATTAGCTAAGCCAGTCCACACAAGGTGCTTAGCAGTTTCAGACAACAAACCATCATTTGATACATCAGCCTGCAGTCTACTCCCAAGTTCAGCAACTCTGACTCCTCAGAGGACAACCCTGTCTTTATGAACAAGTCCACAATCACTGGCTAAAAGAAGTGGAAAAATCATCAAGACCATTCTGAAAATGATTTTCTTTTAGTTACCAGGGTAACAACGGTCACATATATCCATGGACCACAACCCAGAGCACACAAGAGTGACTTCAGCATTTGTTACGAAGGGTTTGACAAATAACAAAATCTCTATTTGGAGAGTTCGGGGGAAAATGTTGTATATATTTGGAGATTTCTTGAAAACTAGGAAGACACTACAGGAAGAAGATAATCTGTTAAAGTGTGCTGTGGCTTTATATGGGGGTGATTTCTGTGGGCCTGACTAGAATACTGACCCCCAAATTGAACATGGTTCCTGTTCACCCAGATACCAGGGAGCCTCTACAAGAAAGAACTACTCACATGGGTTTAAAAGGAATAATACTGACAACCAGAGAAGCAAAAAAGAGCATTTTTAACTCATAATGTAACTATGGAAATTAAGAAATTAACATCGATATCCTATTAGAACTAACTTTAATTCTTTTCCGTACACGTATCTGAAAGTCTTCCACTGCCACATCAATGCCATTTCTTTTTTGGCAGAGCAGCATTCAATATTCCCATGTGACAGTCAAGCCCCCTTCATTCCTTCCAGCGTGGAGCAGCTCCTCAGCTGCTTTTCTCACAACAGGACATTCCCAGGAACTCTGGCAAGTGATCTGGTAGAACACCTTTCACTTTGTTCTAGCGTTACCTTGGGGTTATTGTTAAATTACATGCTTTTGGCTGTGAAGAAGCTGCTGTGTCCTGTCCACATCTCACATCCACAGGCACACGCTGTCCACAAATCTATCAAGAGACACTTGAGGTCCACGTGTCTTAGGATGCAGTGTTAACCTTGACCACTTGATAAAGGTGCTGCCTACCAGTTTGCTGTAAAACTACTACTTCTCCTTGGTAGTTGTTACCTACCTTCTGGAAAACCCTATGAAAGGATGTACGTATATTGTCTGTCATTACACTTTAATGCAAGGATTTGGGTTCCCATCAGTGATCCTCCCTGCCTGAACCAATGACTTCTGAGGTTTTTGCAAAATGGTAATTTTGTTTTTCCACATTTCCACCATTCCATCATGCAGTTCCTCCTCTTGCAGTTTGCTTATTTTTACCAGTATGAACTTACAGATTTTGACGGTTATAACCCATATGGTCCCTTGCTGCTCAATGCGATCTCTCCCAGGACAGTTTCTGTGCCCTGTCCACACGACCCCTGCAGTTTTCCAGCGTGTTCCAAATGTATAATACAACCTGCCCCAAGCTTGCCTTGCGCTTGCCCTGACATGGTTCTCAATCCAGCAGTTTCTTTAGGAAGTCCTGGTTCCTTATGTTGGACAAGGGAATTTCTAAATATTATCTAGGTGCTAGGTGTACTTCTTTCTAATGTATACCAGCCCTTCCAGGAAATATAAATATAAAATATAAACACAAAACACACATACGTGTACCTGTCAACTTTTACATCTACTCATGTTCATATATATTAAAGCCATGAGTTCATGCTGGTGTCTTCTATTCTAACCCATCCTAAGAGTGTTCATTCTAATCTTCTCTCATGCATTATTAATAATTTCTAACCCTGCAAGTAAGAAATTTGGCTGTCATTATCCACAATGTGTTTAATTATTTATCAGTTTTTATCCTACATCAATTAGCTACAGAACTGTGAAAGAAAACCCATATATGTACTAGTTGCTTTACAATATCTATGTGCAATTATTTCTGTCTTTATCTTTAGGTTACAAAGTCAAATGCCATCTTACAAAATAACTCAAATTCATGGATTCTTCTTCCCTACCCTCACTGTAGTTATGGCATTCATTTGCAGTAAGATTAGGGTTATTTTTAATGGTGCTGGACTTTACATGACACAGTTAGATTTTCTTAAATAGATTATTGAGTTGGAAGTATGTGAAGTGTTTTTTTTTTTTTTGACAGGCAGAGTGGACAGTGAGAGAGAGAGACAGAGAGAAAGGTCTTCCTTTGCCGTTGGTTCACCCTCCAATGGCCGCCGCGGCCAGCGCGATGCGACCGGCGCACCGCGCTGATCCGATGGCAGGAGCCAGGATCCAGGTGCTTTTCCTGGTCTCCCATGGGGTGCAGGGCCCAAGCACCTGGGCCATCCTCCACTGCACTCCCTGGCCACAGCAGAGGGCTGGCCTGGAAGAGGGGCAACCGGGACAGAATCCGGCGCCCCGACCGGGACTAGAACCCGGTGTGCCGGCGCCGCTAGGCGGAGGATTAGCCTAGTGAGCCGCGGCGCCGGCTGTGAAGTTTTACAATATAGAAATCAAACCTACAAAAACAGCGTACAGCCAGCCTTCCATTTCCTTGGGCTCTGTAGCCCTGAATTTGACCAATCGCAGAAGGAAAGTATTTGGAAAAATAAACCGTTTCCGTACTCAATCTAAACAGATTTTTCTTGTGCTATTCCTTAGCCAATATAGTACTCCAACTATTTATACAGTATGTGCATTGTGACGGGTATTTTAAGTAATCTGCAATGATTTAAATCACACAGGAAGATGTTCATGGGTCATAAGCAAACACTACACCGTTCCATGTAAGCGACTTGAGCTCTGTTCAAGGGGTACCCTCAGGGGTGCTGGGGCCATCTCCCACACGTGCCGAGGGACAACTGTGCTTGGGAGAAGGGTGCCCGCTGTGACCCCCAACCTGCTGACTTTCTCACCTGCCAACACCCACTGCTTTTAATTTTCAACCTAGTCGATACTTTGAGACATAAGCTTTTAACCCGAGATACGGTTAGTTTAGCAAACTATCATCAATACTTCAACTGCTCTTTCTGTCTCTCCTCTGCCGTTCCACACCCACTGACATTCATAAAGGAATGTTCCAGTTTTGTGTTCGACCCTCTTCACTTCGAAAGATGGGTAGCAAACCATAACCAGCAAACATGTATTAATTCACTCATCTGCTCTTTCATGCACTGATCGGGTCGCACGAAATTATATGCACAATCAGTTTTGGACCCAATATCCGTAAACTACAGTGCAAAGACCCAAGCTAGGAAACCCAGGATGTCCACACTGAGGATTCTAAAAGGTGTGGACGTGTGCAGACTCACCATTGAAGTTAACATTGCGAATGTACTTCAGCAACTTCTTGCCTCCAGCCTGCTCCATCTCCGGACAGACACCCCGGTAGTCGGCACAGAGATCCTTGTTCATCTGGTGAAGGGCGTGAGCCATGGCATAGACGGCGTCAATCACAAACTGAACCTTACCCTCCTGCTCATAGTTGGAATCTTTCCCAATTCTCTCCTGTCCTGCACATTAAAACAAGAAACACACAGACACAAAGTGGTTGCTGAGTACAACGTGGAAAACGTCATTAGCTTTCAATGACACAGAAAGAAAATCACGCATCTAGGACTACAACCATCTCAGCCACACAGCCGCATCCGGCCACCATCACAGGTTGTCCTCGCAGCTTCTGGATTTTTACTTGGGAGCCCATTACCCTAACTTTTCTGATGTCGAGACAAGAGTTAGAAGCAGCGCTCTGAGGGAACTTTTGTAGCAGGCCAAGCAACTATTCAAAATACAGAATTCCCACGGCACCAGGACCCTGAGAGTAGAAGTCCCAGCTGCTCCTCTTCCAGTCCAGCTCACTGCTGAGGCCTGGGGAAGCAGTAGAAGATGGCCCAAGTGCTTGGGCCCCTGCACCTGCATGGGAGACCTGGAGGAAGCTCTTGGCTCCTGGCTTTGGATTGGCGTAGCTCCGGCAACTGCGGCCAATTAGGAAGTGAACCAATGGATAGAAGACCTCTCTCTCTCTCTCTGCCTCTCCTTCTCTCTCTGTGTAACTCTGACTTTCAAATAAATAAATAAATTTAAAAAAATAAAATAAAATGAGCTGTGCATGCAGCTCTTCAGAGCTCACTCTACAAAGCCATAAAGGAAAATGTCAGAAAGCACAGAGAATTTCTTTGAATCAAAAAACAAACATGAAAACCAAGAAATGCCTATCAATAACACTACTGCCACAAATACAGGTTTTTGTTTTTTTTTTTTTTTTGTTTTGACAGGCAGAGTGAACAGAGAGAGAGAGAGAGAGAGAGAAAGTTCTTCCTTTGCCGTTGGTTCACCCTCCAATGGCCGCCGCGGCCAGCACGCTGCAGCCAGCGCACCGCGCTGATCCGATGGCAGGAGTCAGGTGTTTCTCCTGGTTTCCCATGGGGTGCAGGGCCCAAGCACTTGGGCCATCCTCCACTGCACTCCCTGGCCACAGCAGAGAGCTGGCCTGGAAGAGAGGCAACCGGGACAGAATCCGGCGCCCCGACTGGGACTAGAACTCGGTGTGCTGGCGCCACAAGGCAGAGGATTAGCCTAGTGAGCCACGGTGCTGGCCATGATCTGCAATTATTTTTAAATTTACTGTATATGAGCAAAGATGACAACTCATGTGATGACTGACTGTGACCCCACCTATAATCCTGCTGGAAGATGATCTTTTCAGTTTTGCAAGCTGAATTCTTTGTTTACTGAAGCATATGTCTTTGACTATAATGTAAGTTAAAAATGTTACCCTCAAAATAAATAAATCACGTGAAAAGTTAAATGACATAAATACACGGAGTGCAATTTTTTAAAAACACAAAGAACCGTAAATTCTACCCCTGGCCTCATTGGCATCTGCATCGGTGCTTGGCCTCCTGTGTTCAGATCTCAAGAGTTGTCGCTATTGGAAACTCGGGTGCTTGGATGAGGAATCCTGGTATCCTTTTTCATTCTCTCCGTGTTAACCCTCCGCACTCTCACACTGCCCATGTCTGACCGAGCGCTAAGTTCCACCGACTCAGCCTCCCAGACAGTGAACAGTTCCAGGTACTCTATCAATGCCCTACGCATGATTCCCTCTCTGTACATCAGGGTCATCGCCAGATGTCTGCCTTCATCAGTTCATGAGGGGCCGCCTGGTGCTGGACTTGGCGTAGATCACGTTCATTGCCTCCTCACTCTGTGCGGCAGACATCATCCCTCCCCTAACACTCAAGGGGATGCTCAGCCTCAGAGCGAGCCAGTCACCTGCCCAAGGTCACAACGTCATGTGCAGGCAGGGCCACGGTGACGGCGCTGGCTCGGCACTTGCCAAAGCCCTGAGTCTTCTCACCCATTGGCCCTGCCCATTCTCTCTCTACGTCTACTTCTGTTTCTCTTCTTCCTGACGTGGGTGTCCGCTGTGCTTAGAGTTCCCTCGCTCAGGCTCTTTGTTAGGCCGGGGATGCCCATACTCCTTGCTTTCCTGCACTGTAACTTAGTTTCCTGTGAAGATGCAATCCAAACGCTTCCCACACCCAACCCCTCAAGTAAGATCCGAGGTTTCCAACTGACGCTTCAGATTGCATTATGGCGTTAACAACAGCTCTTCCAGTAGTTCTCCCAGACACTTTTCTCTTCCCTTCTGTTTCTTAAATCCCCACACTGAACATAGACGTTCATAGAAGTTAGCATCTAGCAGATACTCAACAACACCTGTAATACATCACGCGTTCATTAGCTCCAGGACACTGGTGACCTGTCCTTCTCTAAAGAGTAATTATCCACACACTGCATTTTATTTTCATACCTGCATTCCCCCAAGTGTCTTCACTGCACATTTGTGTAGCAAAGGAACAGCATGCACTCTACAGCCTCAACTCCACCTCAGAAAAACTGACAGCCATTGTGTGACAAGCAATGACAACAAGGCTTCTTCCCTGGGGGACTTTTTCAGAGCCTTTATAATGGAAAGTATAACCTCCACAACAGAAAAATCAGCGCTTAACAAATCCACTGCCCCCCCTGTGCTCAGCACACATCAATGTCTCAGTGTGAGATACCACGGGTTCTATGTGTGTTTCTCTTAACAGCACTCAGCCTAATGCTCAGGGTGTCACGACATCTAGGGTTTTCCATGGAGAAGACTGTTATTTCTGTAAACCTCAGTTCGGTCCTGAATTCATACTGCTCCTTGCAATTCACTGAGTTGTGACTTAGCCAGGACACTCTTCCCTGCCTGTGTTCCCTTACAGGGAGAGCCTGGTTTTTAATGATACTGTTGGGAGCATCTGCTTGCTTTCTCTGGTACTCCACACATAGCACTCCTACAATAACAGTCAAGGCTAACTCACAACCTAAGGAGCTCAGCGTCCCGACAGCCTCACACCGACACGCCTCCAGTGTTTCCCTGAGAACACAGGGCACAGACTCGAAGAGATGGGACTGTTTGGTGAAAGGGTGAATTTGTACATCATTTCACTCTATTCTACATTGTCCTGTATAGCGGCAGTGGCCTCTTGCTGACCCACCTTGGCAACTGGGTACGTACATCTTCTATTCCTTGCTTTTTCTCTCCATTTCTCCTTGTGTATATGAAAGCTACATTTTGTTTTGTTGTGATGTTTTGATTATTGTCCAACTTTCTGTGACACAATATTTTAAATATACAGTAAGAAAGAACTTCACAGGCAACCCACCAACAACATTCTAACACTAACATTTTACTATGCCACAGGACTTACTATTCTGACAGTGAGTGACATGTGTCTTACTTTTTAAGGTCATTCATATTTAATATTAATTTCATTACATGCTATTTAATAAATGTCTCTTCTTCTTTGTTAGCACTTGGAAAAGCCAATGTGCAAAGCCTTGTGCCCACAGTAAAATATAAAGCATGAAATGGGTTCACACTCATAAATTAAGGGAGCAGTTTCTAAACTGCATTAATAAAGACATTCATCCCCAGAAGATTGACTTGAAAAATACTCATACTATTTTCACTAACGACACTGAAACACTGCAGGTACCCTCCCTCCACTGAACAGACACCAGCCTCATTAGCATATTGGAGGCTAGGAGAAGCCTGCAGCGTGCAATTTGTCTTTGGAACTAACGGGACTTGAAGACTATGGGTTGCTATCAGTAAAACTGGATAAGGTAAGTTCCTTAAAAAACAGACAGGCACTGAAGTGTCACATTCCCTACTGCGTCCGTCTCTGTGATTGGCCATTTCTGAGTCACTCCCCGCCCTCTTCCACTCAGATACTGACAGCCGCCCAAGGGGGTGAAGATTCCTGGGGTTCTCCCAGGGCCTCCCTGGCTCAATCCTGATGTTTCTTCGCCAATGCCATTGCCTCTGCAGGGACTGGTTGTGGATCACACCTGGGATACAGCTCCAGCCAGTGAGATGTGAAGAAGGCGTTTGTGTGACGCCTTCTGAGGAAGCTTACAGACTCTTACAAGGAGGTTAGAGAATTGCATTGGAAGTGTCCCCAATACACATACACTCCCTGTGGTTACCCCAATCACTCTGTGGTCTCAAAACCATCACACAGCATACTCCTCACAACAGAGCAAATAGGGGGATGGACCTGCGAAATGCAGCCACACAGCCAAGTCTGAATTCAGCCGTGTTCCTTTCTCCATGTGATGGACTGAATGAACAGTCCTGCCTCAGTATTTAGCTGAGTACTCAGGCATCACTTTACAGAGTTCTAAGGGACCCACACGAAGCACACACATTAGCCGTGTTGAGACATACTTTCAACAAAATAGTTGGAATTAGAAAAAAAAAGCATCTTCTTTACATTTTTAAAATTTTATTGTTATTTCTTTGAAAGGTGGAGAGACACAGACTTGTGTGCACACATGCTCACACATACACACACATCTCTTTACTCCTCAGGTCTACTCTTCAGCAACAACTGAGGCTGGTTCAGGCCAAAGCCAGCAGCCTGGAACTCCATCTGGGTCTCCGCATGTGGGGGCGGGGCCCCAAGAACTTTCCGCTATCAGCTGATCACCAGCAAGAAGCTGGGTGGGAAGTGGAGATGGGACGAGAACTGCACATTCCTGCCGGAATCAGGTTTGAGCATCTCAACAAACTGTACCAGCTCTCACCCAAGGGAACTCAGCTCCAGTTAATCTCAGCTCACAGTCATTCTTTCTGATTATAGAGATAGTGTGACGTTCTGTACTTGGATGCAGTGCGTCCTTTCCATCACGTTATGGGAAGGAGTCTGCCATTCAGGTAAAGTGAGAACCTGAAAGATTTACCTCCTGGTTCTCAGTGTGCCAAGCAGCTCACTCCGCTGACTGTCTGCTCCACTGTGGTTTCTTTCTTTTCTTTTTCTTTTTCTTTCTTTATTTTTTTGACAGGCAGAGTGGACAGTGAGAGAGAGAGAGAGAGAGAGAGAGAGAGAGAGAGAAAGGTCTTCCTTTGCCGTTGGTTCACCCTCCAATGGCCACTGCGGCGGGCGCGCTGCAGCCAGCGCACCGCGCT